TTAGCAGCTTTTTTCCATTTCTTTCTTCTTTTATATTGCTTAAAGCTCTACTATCCCAATGAAATAAATTTAGTAAGTTTTTCCTAGAAACCAAACGAAACGAGTAAGCTACTATTATGAAGTCTGTAAGTCCCTAAGAGTATTTGTTGTAATGTTTTTATATTGTTGTATCTTTCTTAATTTTGTAATCTTTGTTCTGATGGACTGAATAAGCTTGAGGCAACATTAACAATTCATCGCTATTGTGTAGAAAGATGGATTTTTCTGAGCAACTACTTTTGCGCAGTGTTTAAAACGACGGCTTTAACAATTACGCGAATAAAGAGTCAAGAAATTTAGGGGTCATTATCTTCTCTGACCATAATTACCAACATCGATGAGAAAGAAATTGGAAACTTTTTTATTAATAGTCTGTTACATGATCATTAGGTTTTCAAGAATCTTAACTTTCAATAAAAAAACTATTTAAACTTTTATAAAGAGCCGCAATTTTGTAAATTTAAAAGGTACCTCTATTACATTAACAACCCAAGAGTATTATGGCAAATAAAAGACCGTGCATAAAAGTTAAAAAACTTTTAAAAGGTTGTTTTTTTATCATCTAACTGTAACATGCATTTGCACTTGACTAACTCGAAGGAGCCTCAGGGCCTGGTCTCTAACGGGCATCCCAAATTACTTTTAGTAGACTTCATATATTTTTGATAAAGCTTTAATGGAGAACTTTATCGGTCTTCTACCTCTCTTTTTTAAATATATGCATATATAACATATATTGCACATATAACATACCAGGATGGTATTATTGCATATATAACAAAACAAATCAGGATGGTATGTGCAATTTCCTAAAGACGTCAGAAAAAATTGAAATAAATTTTATCTCTAAAATTATAAACATACTTAAAAAAATAAAATTTAGAAAAATCTGTTAGCGATTCTTATGGTATAATTCAAACAATCCTTTTAAAATCAAAAGTTACTCGAGACTAAAAGCCTAAAAAAAAAAAAAAAATTTACATCATAATTAATGTAAATTAAAAAAAAAAAAAAAAACATTATGATGAAATAAATAAAAGAAATGTATTTACAAAAATGTATTTAAACACCTTATATTTAGAGATATTATTATAGCCTAGAAGAATTAAAACATTCTAAATCGAAAAAATTCTAAAGAATATTTAATCTCTAAAAATATTATCAATTATAAGAACTTTTGTAGGAACAAAATTATAAGAACTTTTGTAGGAACAAAATTATAAGAACTTTTGTAGGAACAAAATTATAAGAACTTTTGTAGGAACAAAATTATAAGAACTTTTGTAGGAACAAAAATGTTTTTTGCACATTTTTTCAAGTTGTATAAAGCCGTGTTACGGTGTCCACTCCATGCTAAGGTAGTTTGCCAGTGGTTGAGATTGCACATATAAGACTTCAAAAACTTTATTTTTTCTAAAGCCCACTCATGACAAAATTTTTAAAATACCTGTATGTTATATATGCAATATATGTTATATAGGCATATATTTAAATCGACAACTTTACGGTTAGTTTTTGCAACAGCAATGCATAGACCATTTAGTAATGAATGACCAAATTTCTGCCTTGAATCATCAATTCCAATTTGTATATCTAAAATATAATTTTATGCGTTTGAACAATCATTTTTCTAACCTCTGTCACAACATCTTTATATTAGAGTCTATATCATTATTACAAAAACAGACTCACTGATGGGAGCATATTCAAATCTGATGCTAATGTTTTTATTTTCTCGTGACCAATTTCAGATAATAACAACTCTGATACTAGTTTCTTAAAATTTACCTCCTCTGTTACCTCTATTAGCAGGGCCGGCTTTAAGGCAGCGCAATTGCCTGGGCCCCAATTTAAGGTGGTAGACTGCTAAAAAAATTATTTTTGTATTTTACAATATTTTAATAAATTTTTTTACTTCGAACATGATAAATACATTAGAAAATTCATAATTTTTAATTTTTTTTTTTTTTTTATATATATTTTGGGCTAAAACAGGTGATTTTAGGCCAAAAACAGGCTAAAATCTTGGCAAAGATATCTCAAAAAGTATAATTTATTAAGTTCTAATTTTTTGTATTTTTATTTGTTTTATGTAGATAAATGTCCTGAGATAAAAATTTTTGTTGAAAATTTCTTTATTTTAAAGTATCGTTAGATTTTTCAAAGCGCCCAATTAATCATCTAATTTCTGATATTAAGAACAAAAAGTTTGTTGTTTTAAAAGTTTATATTCTTAATTTTTTTTATCTCAGGACATAAAGCTTATTATAATGAATCTCTGTACAAAATTTTAAGTCAATTGGACAATTACAGCTCCTGCAATTTTGCCAGAAAATTAGAAGAATAAAACAAAGAAAAAAGCATATAAAATTAAAAATATTGAATATACAAACTTATTAAAATCCCCCTTTTTGATTTAATGCTCTTCTTAATTTTTGTATTTTTTATCAAACCCTTTCCTAGTTGCTTTAAAATTTTTTCTTTGTTTTTTAATTTTTTTTTTATTACTAACCTTAACTAGCGGTTGCTATGAGCGTTGCTAGGGGAAACAAAATTACCCTACTAATATAAATCACTTTTATTAGTTCTAAATTTTTTTTTCTCATACGAAGATCTATATATTTTTAGACTCTACATCATTTACTGTTTAAAACAATGCCACTTTTGAAAAATCGTTTTTTTTTCTAACTTTTTTAGCAGTCTACCACCTTAAATCTATATTAAATATGTAGATTTTGTAAATCTATAAATTTAAAACAAAACATTTTTTAAAAATTAAACATTTTTTTAAAATTGACATTGCACATAAACAAGAAAAAAGTAGACCAAAACAATACTTTTAAATTTTGCTACTAATAATAACTCAATATATTATCTACAGTGGCGGATCCAGGAATTTTTTGTTGAAATATTTTTTTATTTTGTATCACGTTTGTGTCTCCTAAAATAAAATCTTTTGCGCACCAATTTGGATGCTAATGTGACGTTCACATTAGCATTCAACTATTCAGTTCAATGCGTTGAATGCTTCTAATCAAAAAATTATTTCTGGAGATATTATCAAAGAACATTCCGTAGGCTTAGTTTTGAATCTGGTCATCAGTGATGCAATTGTTTCATTGACTACAGCTACATCATTCTTCGGATTGCTGAAAAGAGTCTATGTGTTTTGTTTATTGTTTACTCATCGGTGGGAAATTCCTAAACAGAATTGCCAGCTTACTGTAAAGCCATTGTCCAAAACCCGTTAGGAATGTTAAGTTGATTGCAAAAAGATGGTGCGTTTCTAACTGAAAGAAGTTACTAATACTTTGCTCGGAATTTGTGTAAGCGCAAAAGACAATGCAAAGGTTTCTAAAGGACAGAGTTTAGTCGACAATATTTTGTCGTTTTTGTTCATTGTCTCTTTTGTGATTTGACATAAATTGCAAACGGAAAAAAGTGACCAAAATTTTGCAGAAACCTCAAATGAATACTTCTGGGACCAACAAATTTGTGGAAGTAACGCGTTCTTTTTTGGCTAATCTCCAAGACAATCTGTTTGAGAGTCGCAGAAGAGCTTGAAATTCTTTGTGTATTTTCTACATAGTGACAACGTTGAGCTAAATGGTAGTTTGAGTATGAAATGCTGGACGACCAAATTGCTGATGCAAAAAAGTAATTTTGAATTGAATTCTTCATTTAGTTAATTGACGAGGCCCAACAACAGCTCAACGAACAGTTTTCGATGTTGGAAGACTTTAATATCCAATTCAGTTTTCTATATAATTTTCAGCAAATGGAAACTTGTTTAAATAATGATATAATGAATTTTTCACGAACCTGTAAATTTTTTTTGATAGACTCGACGTCCAATAAATTAAGCATTGATGCAACAGAGTTAGCTGGTAGACTGCGAAACATCTGTTTGATTCTACAAGAAGATGTCAGATCTCCATTTGATGTGTAAACGTTCATTGCGCAAAATGATTTAGCTGATATCAATTCAAATGTCTCTGTTGCTCTTAGAATAATACTACCAATTCCAGTATCCATGTCTACTGCAGTTTCTCAAATTTAAAGCTAATCAAAACATATTTGCTTTCTATCATGAGTCAAGAATATTTATTGGTTTGGAGTTTCTGGTTATTGAATGAGAGGTTTAAAAATAATTAAAAGTTCATTTAAAAGCTTGCTTCAGAGAAAGGTTTGAAAAATTTCTTTCAATTTAAAAATTTTAGTTTTTAGAACAATAAAGTGGAAGACTGAATAAGTGTGAATTTCATAAGTGCAAACTGGTATAAGTGCAAAGCAATTGCAAAAACTGGCATAAATGCAAATCGGCATAAGTGCGAACTGTCATAAGTGCAAAGGATAAGTTGGTATATATGTGAACTGGTGTATGTGCGTCAAAAAAATTTGTCAAAGGCTGGCATGAGTGTGCCAAGATAATTTGAAATCATTTTCAGTAAACTCGCACTTATTCAGATTCGCTGTTATGAAATTCGCACTTAATCGCTCCCAATAGAACCTTTGTATTTTTTGTAGTTTTCTCAGAGAAGTGCTTAAAATTAATTACAATAGAAGATCAATGGATGCTGTGCACCCATGCTTTATTTCATTGGTAATATTTTTCAAAAAAGTCCTCAAAATATTTTTGCACTGGTTCCCCAATGTTTTAAAGCCCGTCCTGTCTATCAGGCATCCTATTTGTTTCTAAATAATTAACGTAGGTAAATTCACAAGTTGCACATTCGATTCAAAATTAGATTTGAAAATTCTTTTTTGTTTTTCATCAAGATCAATATTTTTCAAATTACCAAGCGGTTTAATATTATAATTTAATTCTTTAAACTGTAATTATATTTTTGCTATTAAAACCAAATCGAAGGTAACAAAATTAAATTTACACAGCCAAAGGAAATATTAGAAGTCAATCTTGCATTACACGCCCAAAGGAAGTATTAGAAGTCAATCTTGCATTAGTTTTAAAAATCTGATTTCTCAAAGACGTATTGATGAAAATATGAATAACATCAAAAGCTATTGATCAAAATTTTAATTTTTAAAATTTTAATAAATAATTATTTTAAAAACTGTAAAATAAATTTTACTTAATTTAGACAATGTATGCTTTTATTGAAAATTGCATTTTAAAGCGGAGACCAATCTTTTGCCTACGACTTTAGTTTTCAGGCATAAACTGAGAAGCCAAAATAACCACGTGAGGTATAAAGTTTTTCATCAGCACTTAGGTTCTATAAAAACAAAAACAATTTAATTACATTAATTGCTGTTTCTTTCAAAACCTAAAAATAAAGCATTCAATTCATAACAAACCTTTTTGAAATAAAGCAATCAGTTCAAACTTTTAAGATGTTTTATAAACGTCATCAAGTTCTTTTTTATGGGATTCGTCCTTAAGTGCATTCATAAAAACTTGTTGCATATTTTGGTATATAAAACCAATTAAATTATTTTTTGATTTCTCCATTCAAAATGAGTTGTTATAGTTTCAGCTGTAACGCTTTGTAATAAATACTCGTTATAAAACTATCATTGGCTCCAATATTTCAGAATAACACTGCGGTATTCGAACTATAAAAACTTTCAATTCCAACAGAAATTCTTTTCTTCCTTGAAATGGAGAGGTCTTCAATCTGCAAATTGAATAGCTACATGTTTGTTATAAAACCATGGATACGTACTAACATTTCTAACGTTCTCTTGATTCATCTGCCATTTATTTCAAAGTCGTCATAGTAAGAACCAAGGTGTATACATGAAGCCATTCTTTAATTTAGTGTTTTTATTATTTTTGCAATCTTTTTTCTTATATTATTTACTATAGGCCACTGCCATCATCCAAAATGAGGCTCATTTGTAAAACGACCTGAAAAATTGAAAAAAGTATTTTAATGCTACAGATGAAATTAACAACAAAATTTTCTGTAAATTACAAATTTAATATTAATGAATTCGTAAACTGTAACCCTGCAAATAAAAAGTTGTTCAAGGTTAGAGGTTCAAGGTTAGAGGTATCAAGGTTAGAGGTATCAAGGTTAGAGGTTCAAGGTTAGAGGTATCTTCAGTTTCATGTACCATTATAAAGTAAAAACCTGCTGTGAGGATTTGCGATGAGATATCACGTGGTATTCATAATTGCATTGTGAGTACAAGTACCATTATCTAAAAAACGATAATTATTTTTTTTATTTTTTTTTCAATTTACAATATTAGTCGTGTTACAAAATTTATAAGTCGTAATACATAAACATAATTCGTAATACATTTAAGTCGTACAAACAATATAAAACTAGGTTTTCGAAAGAAGATCATAAGGATCTTATCATCAGAACCTTAAAAAGTAAAGTATTAATTAGTCTTTGTAAGTAAATGCATGTTTATACAAATGTATATATATATATATATATACATATATATATATATATATATATATATATATATATATATATATATATATATATATATATATATATATATATATATATATATATATATATATATATATATCAGAGGCGACGATACCAGAGGGTCAGGAAGCATTGCCCCCCAACTTTTTTTCTAAAGGACCTTTGCTTTTTTGTTTAAATGACGGATGAAAAATGTAGATTTTAGTAACGTAGACTTTATGATCTATTTTCTAATAGCACGGAAAAAATTTTTAACTATTTTTAAGTATAAACAAATATTGATTAAGTGAGCATATCAAAACAATTTAATTATCCTATGTTATACTCTCGCGTTTCTCACAACAATGCAATCAGTTCATTAGCATGCAATTCGGAATTAAATCCTCCTTCATAAAAGAAATTTGTAAGTTTTTAAAAACTACCCCATCTAAAATAGTTATTGTTTTGTTAATAAAATTTTGTGTAAACATTTCAGAAATATTGACAATCTAAAGAACATAAACAAAAACGGGGATAAATTCTTTTTTTTTCTCTCTTTTTCTTTCTTTATTACTTTTCACTAGCTTTTTATAAAAACTGATTTTTAAAAATTTTTATCTGAACAATTGTTAGAGAAGAGGCAAATGCCTCTGCTGTCACCTGGGTCACTACGTGCAAGTTTACAGGTTGCTAGGTGTAAATATATATCAAAATGAATCAATATATCAATCTGGAACCAACGAAGATTTTTGTGAACAAAAAAAACAAATTACACTCGTTTTAAACCAAAAATCGAAATTGAATTTAAACTATTTTATTGACGTTAACGCAATTTTATTATTTTCTACTATCTTTATAACTTTTAACAAAAGAAGCAATTTTTTTTTATATGATAAATAATCGAATAAAAAAAATTTGGTCTTGCTGAACCACTTATGTTTCTAGTAACATTAAATAGAGATATAATATATCGTATTTTTATCTATTAGACCTAATATTATTATTTTCTACTTACTGAATCTATTGAAATTTCTTCATGTTGAGAAATTAACACTATATATAATATAATATTATACTAAATATAGTATTATACAAGTTTCAAATTTGATTGAATAGTATTGTAGTGTTCGAAAGTTATGACCATTTAGGGTTTATAACTCCCTTATTTTAGAGAGGGTGAAAACTTTACGTTGTCATCTTTTGTACACTAAAACACTTTTTGATATTTAACAATGGTTTAGTTATTATTAGTTTAACAATCTGTTAATGACTATTAATTTAGTTTAGAATAATAATATAAAGCTCAGTAACTTATTGCTCTCACATTTAAAGTTCTCACGTCTGCAATTTTTTTTTTTTGCAAAATATTTTTATTTGAAATTAGCATACCCAAGTTTGAAGTTTTTTCCTGAATGTTATCTCAATCACCAAACAAACAAAAACTACCGCAGTCCTTGATTCATAATATGTAAATAATATAAACTCTCGATAAGTTGAACTTCCAAGGGATCTAAAAAATTGTTGAATTTCCAAGGGACCTAGAAAATAGTTGAATTTCCATGAGACCTAGAAGATAGCTCACGTCATTGAATGTTCTAGTTATCAAAACATTTGATAACACAAACTTTTGACCATAAATAAAAGTTTTCTCGATTATGTTTTTATTTGATAAGGATTTTACTAAAATAAAAAGAATTTATTAATAAATAAAAAGATTTTACTTCAGAGTTGAGACAGAGTGACATAAGAACATTTTTAAATGTGTTTCACTCCTTTGAATAAGATGATTTTAATTTACCTATGACAAAGAGGAGAATTTAAAACCTTCTGCATCTGCTGCTTTTATTCTAGAAGGATGAGTTTTACTTTGTTTCTCCCTCAGATCAAAGATTAAGTAACTTATCAGGTTGCATGCAAAAAAAAACAACCCAAATTCAAATACATTATAAATTTTATTAAGTTTATCCTCGGATAAAGAGTCCTCGGATAGGGAGAGCTGTTTTCTTTCATGGCGCCGTCATTTCAGCCGTGAAATAGTAACTTTCTACAGATACCGTCTTGATAGAAACATGTTTTTTCAACAATTAATTCAACCATTGGAAGATGAAAATACTTTTACTTTAATTTTTTGCAGCAGGTTCTCTAGTTTTTTTCTCTTCTTCAGCAAGTTCTCTGGCTTTTTTTTAAAACTGATACCAATACTACTATGTTTTTATTTAAAAATGAAGTAATCTATATTGGAAAATTTTCTTTTTTAAATTCATCCACGTTTTTATTTATTCCCTTGCGTCATCATAGATTTAAAAATACTTGTAATCCTAGTTTATAGAATACTTTTTAAAATGCCATAATTTATAGCAACCTAAAACTTTATCAATACTTCTCAAGTTTCCTTAAATGTAACGTACTTTTCGATTGATTTTATGTAAGGTTTTCTTTAGCAGTGACAAATGCCGTTGGAAGAAATAAACACGACCACTTCTATTATAATTTTTCAGTGCACGTATAACGTTATAAGTTAAAGGCAAACTTCCATTTAAAGTAAATTTTTGCAGAACGAACAGAAAATTATCCAATCACGTAACAAAAAAGTTAAAATGCGCGTGCTTCACACTGTTTAATTGTCCTTTCTTTTCCGCAGAAAACTTCGAGTAAGTTGAAATGTGCCTTAAGACTGTTTTGTTTTTCTTTTAAAATTCGAGTTATCTGAAGAATATTAGCTAAAAGGCGAATCGAATAATTCATATTAGTGAATGTTCCAGTTATCGCAGGTTATAGAGTTATCAAGTTATAGAGTGATTGTTATAAAAAAGTATGAGACTTCATAGGGGAATTCAAAAGTACTCGAGTTACTGAAGTTTTGAGATGTTGGGAGCTTACTATAATATATCAGTTTACAGCATGTTAATACTATTTAACATTATATAAATATACGCATAATGTGTTAATGCTATAAAATAGTACGTTAATATATTATAGGTACCACTAAATATAAGTTAATAACTTATTAAGTTGTATTTTCCGATGAAATAATGTATGCCATTATTTCATCGGAAACTTTTTTTTGTTTATTAATAGGGTTTCCGTTAATATGACTGTAAGTTTTTACTTTTTTCAATGGACATGAACAAATGAAGAGTTTGTTAGTAAGTAAATATTTATGTATCAATATATTTATAATATGCCAATTATATGAAAGTAAATATTTATAAACCCAAACCTTGTTTAAAATGCAATGTTTAATTAGGGTTTGTGTGTTCGGTTTTTTAATTCCTCGACTAAGTTATTTAAACTTTTAAACAAGTTGACTTAACTGTTTAATAAAATAAATCAGTGTTTTTAACATTTAACTTTTGTATAACCATCAAATTATATATAATCATCAACTTAAAATAACTTAATGGTGGCCTTTGTATAATCTGCTGCCATTGTATAATTTGCTGGCCATTGTACAATTTGCTGGCCATTGTATAATTTGCTGGCCTTTGTATAACCATCAACTTTGTATAATCATCAACTTAAAATCACTTAATGCTGGCCTCACTTTTCTTCCTTAAATGTAAAATGGAATACCATTAATGCGACAATAATCCTAATGGGAGATTTTATAACTAAAAAGAAATTCTGGCCATCCTTTTACATAACTATACTCAAGTTAGCTATTTTATTTAAAATTTTATTTACTATGCATACATTATGTTATGACTATACTTAGTAGCACACATATAAAATAAGTATACCATATAATAAGAAAGTCATTCAAACTTACTGAGTAAGAAAGTCATTCAAACTTACTGAGTAAATAATTTTATTATATAAAAAACTTTTTTAGAAAAGATTAAAAACATTCTTTAACATCTGAATAATCGTAGTAGCAATAAAGTCTGGTTTTCTTTTAGCAACAGGTTTTGTTTATGTTAAGCTACTAAAACTTTGATTTGTTGCAGTCAAGCACACTTAAAAATAATAAACTTAAAATGCAATGTGTGAAAATAAAATGTATACATTTTTCATTTAGTTAAAATGAAACATATATTTGATTGATCTGTTTGCATTGCAACTGATCAATCAAAAGTCTTTATGAGGGTAAAGTTTTTAATTAGAAACTTTCCCCTCTTTGACTTTAGCTAAAGTCAAAAAAAAGGTGGATTTTATAGCCAAATTATCTTTACTTTCATTAATTTTAACTTCTGACATATTATTTACTCAACATTTTTTATATTTAGTTTTATCAATACTTCTCTGATAATGTACAGCACGAGATAGAATAGATTGCTTGACTGAAATGAGTTCTCATTGTTAATCCATTTAAAAAGTATGTAAATCAGGGTAGATACAACGATAATTTTATTGATATTATTTGATAGTGAGACTTTTTTTCTTTAACTTTTGAACAAAATAAGACGATAATAACTAGTTAATGCGTTTATTGTTGTTAAAACCTCCCCTGTCTACCCTTTCTGTTGTTGGCATTTGCTGTTGTTAATATTTTATAATTTTTACTAATTTGTGTTTAGTTTTATATATTTATTTGATGTTTTATGTGACATGTTACTTGTTCATAAAATTATCATGGTGGTAAAAGGTGCCCACTGGACTACTCCTATTTATATAATAGTATATGATATTTTAATGAGGCGACTCTTCATTTTTGAACAAATAATTACCCCTAAGATCATATCTTTCAAACCTGATTAAAAACAAAATTGATAGTAAAGAAATGATTTTAACTAATTGATACTATTTTAACTTCAAAGCACCTAGTTTAAAGTGAAA